CTATTTGATGCTTTTATCTTGAATATATATCGATTTAAAGTGTGTTGGATATATTTTTATTGAATGTGTATGATTGGGTGTTGCGGATCTACTTTTAACTATTCTTGGTCTCCATTTACCTTGGTACTAGAAACTTTCACATTTGGAAAAATATAATATAGTCATTGGGGACAACCTTGAGGACTTTTCTTTGGCTGAGGATATGATAGGATTAAAGTTTGATTTTAAATACTTAGGTTTGTTATTTGTGGAGGAGAGACATATTCTATGCTTGCTCATTCATCAATATCTGAGTTTCATTCATTGCGATCCATTTTTGTAGAAATGAAGCACTTCGAGTTGCTTTCATTGATGAGGTTGAGACATTGATTGAAGGAAAAGTGCACGAAGAATACTTCTCGAAACCTGTGAAGGCTGACATCAATGGGAAAGATAAGGTTTGTCCTATTATTACTATTTTTTGTTATTACTCCGAGTTCTTTTACTTGACTAGGTGCCCATCTTTGTTGTTTTCTATAAACAAATTTAAAAGAGCTTGCATTTCTTCTGTTTTTGACAAATTCAGAACTTGCAAGGTGCGTTACTTTGCCACTCTACGCATGGTTTTTATGTTGTCCACTATTTGACCTTGGAAAGGGGTGACCCGAGTAAGCGATGATGCATCACGCCGACAGATCTGAGATTTAATGGATAAAATGGTAAATAGAAATTATGAATAAATATTTAATTAATTATTTAAATCCACTCTTGGAAAAAACATAACAAGTCCTATTTAGGGAATTTGTGGTTTTGTTTTGCTCCTTTCGATTCCCCATGTTCAGTTTCTTTTCATTTTTAATTTTTTAGATTTTCTTATTTATTTAACCTTTTTCGGGCGGGGGTGGGCCAAGGGATGGGGATGTTATGTTTGTTTCTGTTTTTTTACTCTGTAATTAATATAGAGTACATCACACTACGTAGACTTGAAATATTCTTCCTTACCTTTCAATTTATCACTTTAGTTTTTACCTTCCTTTTAAGACCTTATCTAAATAATGTTTCTATTTACCCCTAGACTTATGTTTTCTTTTATTTTTATATTTTGATATGAACATTAATAAAAATATTGTTATCATTATTATTAAGATTATGGCTATGATTATTATTATTACTATTATTATTATTATTATTATCATTTTTAATTTCCTATTACTAGTCTTATTCTATTTTAGTCAATATCCCTAAATGATAGGTGTCTTTTAAGGTGTTGCCCATTTGAAGTGAGTTCACGTTAATCGTGAATATCTGTTGTTCCATGGCATTTACAGAGTAATCATGAAACTATGAAAGAAAAGTCTGTCTAACTTGTATTTGAAATGATCATCAGGGTTCGTATGCATTATGGTCATCCAGATGTCTTTGATAGACTATTCCATATAACTAGGGGTGGTATCAGCAAAGCATCTTGCGTCATAAATATTAGTGAAGATATTTTTTCTGGTAAATTTGCCTCACATTTAAGGGGATTTTGTTTCATAATTTAATGTTATTGTGTTTAATTTTAATCTTATGGGTGTAGAGTTTGGGAAATATACTATATTAACTGCGTGTTAATCCTTACTTAATGTTCTATATTTATATGCATGGCCTATAGTTAACATTTGTTGAGTTTATTTAAAACATTCCTAGTCAAATTGGAGCATATAAGTTACAGTTTACAAGTTACATAGACAGTGTTTGCTACCAAAAAAACCATTTCGTATGTCTCAGAAAGACTTAAAACCCTGGATATCTCTTCCAATTAATCTACCGATTTTATGAAGAATGATGCACCTAGGCATAATCTATTACATATTTACATGGTGAGAAAAGATAACCATTCTTTCAACTTTAGATTTGTCCTTTCCATGACATACAAGATGCTACTACCTAAGTTATCAGACGACATACAAGCTGGAAATTTACAGCTTGAGTTGCCTTCCTCAACCTCTGGCCTCTGCTCTTGCTACTACGACGGCACATGGAATTCCTTGTGGCGCTTGGAGGAATTCCTAGCTTTGAGATGCTGCGGCCTGTCTAATCCGGAACCCATACGTTGGAGTATATTTTGCCATGGAGTAGATCTTCTAAAACTATTAAGTTGAAAGAAAGAGATAAAAAATGAAGGGAGAAAAAGAATAATGGAAAAAGTAGATGGCATGTACAAATCTGATGGAAGAAGAAGAATTGACAGGGAAGAATGAAGAAAGAATGAAAATGTGATGGCTGTCGGCGGATAAATCTAGAGTTAGAGTGGAGTAATGAGGGAAAAGAATGAAAAAGGGTAAATAAAGTATTTTACACAATGATTTGCCCAATAAGGAAATGGAAAGAAAACTTTAAAATGGTCCAAAAAGGAATGTGAGGAAAATTTCTGGACAGAGGGAGTTATAATTAATGAAACCCTAGACTCATAACATCCATGTACCTATAATAATCCTCAACAATTGTGGCAATGTTTTATAAGCATGAAGTGGATTCGACACAAGTTCATAGTGGATCAAATCAGCTTATGCGCATAGGTTTGTAATGTAACGACAGGTTGTAATGCCTTTTCTTTATATCAACTAAAATGCAGGATTCAATTCAACTTTGTGCCAGGGCAATGTTACTCACCACGAATACCTCCAGGTTACTAGATTCTCTCTCGCTGGTATGTGGAGGTCGTATTTCATGATACTTATCAGCTAATGATATCACTAATGATGTTGTATAGGTTGGCAAGGGACGAGATGTTGGACTCAATCAGATTGCTTTGTTTGAGGGGAAAGTTGCAGGTGGTAACGGGGAACAAGTCCTTAGTAGAGATGTCTACAGGCTTGGTCAGCTTTTTGATTTCTTCAGAATGCTATCGTTCTACTTCACAACTGTGGGATACTACTTTTGTACCATGGTACACAGTTATTTCCAATGGAATACATGTAGGGAGCGGCTAAATACACCCCATTACTTTCTAAATACACCCAACTCCTGCTCAACCTCGCAGAACACAACGAAGGAACTTGACCAACACTAGCTTAGCGTCTGTTTAGCGAGTGTTCTTTGGACACTCATTGACTTCCAACTTCAGTGATTACCAGAACACTCTTCATTGTGTGAGGCTGTTAGCAGAGTGTTGGTCGCGCAGTACTTCTTCAGCAAAACACCAGTGTTTTCTGACACTCTTAAATGTGCTAAATCAATTTTGCTAGATTGATTTTTTTTCTTCAAAATTAGGTGTATCTATTAAACTAGGGGTGCAAATTGCCGCATCCTTACTTTTATTAGATGTCATTTACACGTATTGCTATTTCTTGTTTTGGTCGTCTATATACTTGAACATGTAAATGGCTATTTGCCTCATGTATCTAATGGCTCGCTATCATTTGTTTATGTAGTTAACAGTGCTCAGTGCCTACAGTTTTCTCTATGGGAGAGCCTATTTGGTATGTTCTGATACATAACTACATTTTTTTTATCACTAAGTCATGGTTATTAAGGCGTCGCCTAATTGACGCTTAGGCAGTAAGGCGGTCTGCCATGGATGCCTTAATGGGCGAATCCCATCTGATGTACTGTAATTGTTAAATTTTACAAGCTATATTCCTGATGGATGCACCTGAATTTCTTGTCTCAGGCGTAATCTGGGGTTGGTGAAACGATTCAAGAAAGAGCAGATATATTTGATAATGCTGCACTAAATGCTGCTCTCAATGCACAGTTTCTTTTTCAGATTGGGGTATTTAGTGCAGTGCCAATGATTTTGGGTTTCATCTTGGAACAAGGATTCCTGAGTGTATGGTATTCATCTCTTGATTTTCAGCTGTTATCATTTCTTCAAAATGCAGCTATTCCTTCAAAAAGTTTCTGTTTTGTATAATTGTTATTCATTTCTTTGGAAATAAATGCCAGATCATCGTGCCTGCCAATTTTGCGTCTGCATTTTGCATTCAAAAAACATCAACATTAAACCCAGCCTAATCCCAACTCCGTTGGGGGGGTGTGGGGAGTCAAGATGTATGTAACCTTACCCTTTAAGAAAGCAGAGGCTGTATCGTTAGACTCTTGATGTGTTGATGCATTAAAACGCCATTGGAAGTTAAGAGACAAGAGAAGTTCAATTTTTCATTTTGATTTAGTTCATTATGTTCTCAAAGCTTAAACATTGTCAGACATGACTCTATGAGCATGTCTGACTATGTTTCTTCCCACATGACTCGAAGCTAAATTATTGGACAAGCTAAATATTTTATATACTCCCTCCATTTAATAATTTGTTCTCAGTTACCTTGGGGCTTCCCATTTCCTTATTTGGCATTTTTAAAATGTAAAATGTTGTAATCGCAAGATATTTCTCCAATTTCATTCACACCCTCCCCTGCCCATTTTGCATAGCCACATCTTCTTTGCATCTCGTCTTTTTCAGTTCTTTCCTCTAACATCCTCATCATCATCATCTGTTCAACTATTCCCCCGTTCCAAACTTGTCTTCTTCCACCCAACATCCTCCTTCAAGTCCTCGTCATCTTCTTTATTTCAACTCGTCTTCCTCCCCTTTTGAGCAGGACCTAAGGCGTAGCATGGCATTGCATCTCCAACGGAGCTGCACTGTCGGGTGGTGTCATCTCCGTTGGATCTCACCGGACGGTGTGTGTAACCCATGCTTGATTTGGATGGATCTAAGGGTGTAAGCATTGAAGGATATTCTTGATCTGAGGGTTTAAGCTGTGATGGCTCTCTGTCAGATCTAAGGACTCTGATTCGAGTTTGTGGTGGTGGTGGTCAGCAGCGACGGCTATTCCGGTGGTCCAAATTTTGGCCTTCGGCAATGTTGAACTTGGTAGTACTTTTCTGTTTATTAAGCTTCTCTCATGTGATATTTGATTTTGTTCTCTTAGTAAGTGCTGCAATTGTTTTCCCTTTTTTGTGGCGATGCAATCGAAAAACAGCTTATGTAAATCAAACCAATGATATGTACCTGTTTCTGGGGTATGCTGCTACTCTAAGAATGTGCTTCACAGAGCCTTCAGTCTTTTCTTATTTAACTCTAAATATGAATTGCTTCTTCAGGTATGTCTAGGAAACATCTATTTTAATTTTCTTAGTGATACCAACATATTTCAGTACTATTCAAACCCGGATAACCTGTTTTAGATAAAGAATAAACATTTTGTTAGTGTACGCATATGTGCTTCATGTCTGTGTGCCTTTGTTTATGATATTCTGTTTATTTTGTCTATATTCCTGTATTTGAGCCAAGGTGCCTTGTTTCTCTACTTTCGTGAAGGGACGGGTTGAAATTGGCCACACGGGATTCACATTCCACTAAACGACCTCTATTTCCCATGCTAAACCCCACTAACAATGGTTGGTCTTGATTCTCCACGCGGCTTAATGTCACATATTCATTCTTTTAATACTTATTTATATTTTGTGGGATTTGGAATAGGTAAATGCACTGCTGCTGATTCTTTTAAGCACGGTGGTCCAAATTTTTCCCTTCGGTAATGTCGAACTTGGTATGCGTACTTTTGTGTTTATTAAGCTCTCTCATGTGATATTTGATTTTGTCCTCTTAGTACCTACTACAAGTTTTTTTTGGTGGCGAGGCAATGGAAAAACAGCTTATGTAAATGAATTAGTGCACTTATAGCTATCTCATCTATTTATTCATTCTTCCGTCGTGATCTGATCTGTTTATTGATTGTTCCTGTGCTGATCTGATCTCTTGATTGATTGTTCCTGTCCTGCCTACCCCTCCTCCCATAAATCCCTCGTGGCAGCCCAGGCGCGAGGCATCGTGCAACCCCTCCAATTTCATTACACAAATTACATTCGACCAATTTTTAGTACCAATTTTTTAGTACCAATTTTAGAGCTGTCTACTTCTCTGTGTGTTTTGCTCTCGCTGGTCTTTTAGGAACTGTCGGGCCAGGGAGGCCCTTTGAGTGATTTTGCCAACCAAAGGATAGTTGTGATAGTAGTAGGAAGGTAAAGGCATACCATGTTTTTAATATGTTTTTGACTTACAAATTCTCCTTGGCGTGTTTTTTGTTTTATTTCAGTGCCGGGCTTGGCGTTCTTAACTTGGCAATGCATGGTGTTTCTAGAATGTCTGTAGCAATGGCAATTCCTCATATTTTTATATTGGATAAAAATGAAAGAACAAGTTTTACTTAGAAATATATCACCAGCCTTGCCTTTTGCTAAAGATCAACATCAGATCCAGGGACTGGGACTTCACGAGGGTGCAAGTCTTCTCAAAGTGGTAATTTAGTGGTATATGTTCAGCCTATTTTGAAAGTACGATTTTATTTTTATTGGGTTTCCTCTTCTTGTTGGATATGTCCCAAAAAAAAGTTGGGTTGGTATTAGCTGCTGCACTCAAAACATATCGTTACTATTTGTTACATATACAAATAGGTGGTTAAGGCCACATGGGATTCAGATTCCACTAAGCCACCTCTATTTCCCATGGTTGGTCTTCATTCTTGAAGCGACTTAATGTCATATATTCATTCTTTAATACTTATTTACATTTTGTGGGATTTGGAATAGGCGAATGCACTTCTGCTGGCTCTTTTAAGCATCGCGGTCCAAATTTTGGCCTTCGGCAATGTTGAACTTGGTAGTACTTTTCTGTTTATTAAGCTTCTCTCATGTGATATTTGATTTTGTTCTCTTAGTAAGTGCTGCAATTTTTTTCCCTTTTTTGTGGCGATGCAATGGAAAAACAGCTTATGTAAATCAAACCAATGATATGTACCTGTTTCTGGGGTATGCTGCTACTCTAAGAATGTGCTTCATAGAGCCTTCAGTCTTTTCTTATTTAACTCTAAATATGAATTGCTTCTTCAGGTATGTCTAGGAAACAACATCTATTTTAATTTTCTTATTGATACCAACATATTTCAACCTGGACAACCTGTTTTGGATAAATAAAAAACATTTTGATATTATGATGTACAATTATTTTGCTAGACATGTGAAAATAGCAAGGACGCTATATCATTGTATTCAGTGGGAGTAGTTGCTTTCTTATATTTGATTTTGATTAAATTGATTATTAAATGATACTGTTCAATTGATAGGAACTATAGAGGAACAAAGTTGAAGCTGCTAAGTTTGTTCCTTTTTGGAATGAGATTATAAGGAATTTGAGGGAAGAAGACTACATTAATAGTTTGTGAGTTTTACTTGTGGCCATGGCAATTTCTGTTATCAGGTCTTATTCATTGACTGCTCACTAAAGCTCACTAGACAAACATTCATCTTCTTTAATATACAGGGAAATGGAGTTGCTTTTAATGCCTAAAAATTCAGGGATAATAGACAATATTCCCTTGGTTCAATGGCCTCTGTTCCTTCTAGCAAGCAAGGTTGCTATCAGAAATTATAATACTTGTTTTGTTTCTATGCTAGTTAAGTATGCACATATTGTTATTTCTCTTCCTGGTATGTATGTCTTTTGCCTCTTGCACAGATATTTCTTGCTAAAGATACTGCTATTGAGGGTAAAGAGCCCAGACTTTCGCAAGAGGAGCTATGGGACAGGATTTTAAGGGACGATTACATGAAATATGCTGTTCAAGAGTGTTATTATACCCTCAAGTTAGTCCTCACACCTGTGTTGGATACTGAGGGTAAGAAGTGGTAAGTTGATGCCTTAAGGAAAATATTTCTGGCTTGCAAGTTATTTGGTCAGAAAGATTCATCTCTCTTCTTGTCCCATTGCAGGGTTGAGAGAATATATGACGAGATTCAGAGAAGCATAGCTAATAGGAGCATACTTGTTGATATTGAATTGAATAAGCTACCACTAAGGATTCAGAAAGTTACTGCACTGTTGGGAATACTGGTTTGTATTTGAAGTTCCATCCATTGCAGATCATTTGTTTTGTTGTGCATGTACATATGGCGTAGTTTCAATTCTCATACAACAGGGATGCTTGTTACTCTCCTATTACTGGTACACTGCATATATAAAGAACAATATAATGGGCCTAAGCTTATAAAGCCCAGGGTTTCTAAACTAGATTTCAAATTAGGATTAAAGTTTGCTTTTAAATACTTAGGTTTGTTATTTGTGGAGGAGAGACATATTCTATGCTTGCTATTTAATTGTTTATAGTTTTCGGTAAATGACATGGGGATACTCTCACTCAAACCAGCTAAATATCTTTTGTATATCATTATTGCATTATCATGACAATATATGTATATGTATGTGTGCATGCTTGTGTATATTAATAAGTATACATAAAACTATGAGAGCTAGTGATTTGGAAACTAAGAGAGCTTGTTGCATACAAAGACATTTTGATCCGAGGGGGAGGGATGGAAGATAGCTCAAAGCTGGCTAACCAACTTCATCTTTGCAGGAAGCTAGAAACAATGATAATGGGCGGTCATCTTATCTTTAGTTGTATTTCTTCTTTTATAGGTCACTTAATTGCTTTGAACTTAGTTGGCCATGGAGAATAACTTCACCCTTCTTTCTGAAGCCGACACCAAGATCATAGGTCTGATGCATTCCTGTTTACATTCATAATGTGTTTAAGTGAATTTTCTTTATAAGGTTATATTAAATCATGATAGCTGTGTGCAGGTTTAGTGATATACCGATATTTCCACAAACGGTCTGTTGTTCCTCACATCTAACCTCACCTTTTGGCCCTAAACAATGTTAGTTAACAAATCAGCTTCCAAATTAATGGGTCATTTTTTATCCAAGCACTTCTCTTTCTAGTCCTTGTTAAAGTTCTCAACATCTAAATTTGTATCTAAATTTTTGGTTAATCTTAGATATAATGACATAAAAGAAAGTAGAAACAGAACTTTGTACAAGATTTTCATTTGGCTCAAGTTGCCAACCCCATGGATTCAGGATAAGGCTTAGTTAGTTGGTTGGATGTTATCATACTTTATTTTATAGAATATTTTAATTTTCGGACCTTTCAAAAAAAATTATTAGTTACTTTATTTTCTATACTTGTAATGAATATGTAGCTATCCACAATTCCCTCTCCTCTGAACAAATTCTAACCACACACTTTTTACTTTTTAACAACTTTCTTAAATTCTTTGAAGTCAAACTCTTGAGAATTTTATGGGACGGATGGAGTATATTAATATCGTTGTAATTTAGAGATTTTCAAATTTAGCTCTTGGATGCAATATTATATCTGGATCTGGTTTGGGGTTTTTTTGCTGCGGACAATGTAATTTTCCACCATCCCAAAATGGTCTTTAAGTTCAACTTTGCATGCACCATTATACGGTGTATATGTAATTCAAATTGACTCCCCCCCCAAACTTGCTCTTTGTTATAGAACATTCTTAAATCTAGTGGAAGCAGCAAACGACAGGGAAAGACTTCTTTTGTGGTGCATCGAACTTTCTTACATCTTTATCATAGTTTTCACCGACTATGGATATTTCTTGTGATGATGTTTCAGGTGTGGATCTTTATCATAGTTTTCACCGGCTATGGATATTTCTTTTAAACTTTCTTACATGTTTATTTGTTTTTCGCTCTTTTGCTTTCACACCCCTTGACTGCCATTTCATTTTTCTTGTTGACATTCACAAACCACCATTGAGATGAATCCTACTAGATGACATCCCTTTTTATTTGGATATAATTTCCTTACAGCTATCCTTTTCTGCAGGGACTCACTATTATTGCTTTCAATGATGGGAAATTTAACTCAAAGACCTTACGAGAAATTCCGAGTCTTGGGCCTACTTATTTTGTGATGAAACTTTTGGAAAGTATGATTCTTTTGACATTGAAATCTCACATAGACCATAGTATAATAATCCTTTTATGCTTTGGAGATGTTTGGTGCACGCACACATAAGAGATGCACAAGTGCTTTGAGAATGTTTAGTATGTCATTTATATATGTGAATGCTGTTGGTTCTGAATTAGTAATGTTGTCACTGAGCTGCTCCTTGTTTGTTCACGCATTGGTGTATTGGATGTCATTATGATGTATGGTGC